AGGTTTGCATATGATTAAACTTTTGTTTGTTTTTCCTCTTGTTAATCTGTCTTATGTCAATTTGATTATTAGACCACCCAGAAGAACTGATTAGAAGAAAAAAATGTTATGCCCCTACAAGACCAATTCTGAAGGATATTCAAAATGCAGAAATCTATATTCTTTTTTAAAAAGTCATACAAGAATTTATTTGAGCCAAAATGATGACAATTACCAAGGAACAAAATCTCAATGGATTGAGAAAATGCTCCAAAGAATGGCAGTTTTGCAGCTTATTTTATGAGAATCAAAGGAGGAGACAATTAGAGTTACATGAAACCCATTGGTGGTAGATTAAGGGGGCAGAAGAAAGCAAAAAAGGGAAATTTCTGAGATTGGATAAAAAGTAAAATGGAGAGACATAATTTTTTAAATTAAATTATTGGGGTGACATTGCTTAATAGGATCATATACATTCCCAGTGTACCTTTCTATGATATGTGCATAGTTCTTTTACATTTGTGGATACAAGATAGTTAATAACATTTATAGAGATGGTATGTGGGGAACAAGATAACAATACTGGGTTCTGTGGTTTCTGTGCTCTGGTGGGATAGATGAAAAAGAAGATTACTCTGACATTTCAAAGATATGTTAGATGCAAAAGAACAATAGACAGGCTCAACTAAGGTAGAGATTGACCTTTGTCAAGGAAGCTACAGACCTAGGACATCACTACCGGCCATGACACACTTTTAATTAGTAATTTTTATATTCAGATCATCAAATGTGGTTACTTTGGGTCCCTGAGTTTGTAAGGCCCACCATGTAGGCCTCCCTTGAGTTTATCAGATTTAGTATTGGCCCCCTTTCATTCACCGTTTCCCCTTTAGGTCATAAATGAATCCAAAGGATGCAATGATGACCAATCTTTTGTTTGGATAATGTGGTCCCACAGGCTAGAAAGGCTGATTCCTAGGAAGTTTCAATGTCAGCATTTGTCTTGCTAAACAGTGGACCACTGTGGATGTGGCAAGGCTGAAACTTTGAATGGAGGTAAAGGCCAAATTTTTCTCCAAGTGAAATGCAGGTCTTATGGGCCTTTATTGGGCAAAAACACTCTGGATCATTTTCACACTTGATCTTAGCCAAAAGGCCAAGAAGCAATACACTCTGGATCGCAATGACCACCAGGGGGCAGACGCTCTGACCAGTAGAGGAAGGAGCCTGATTCCTGGAGGAATTAGCCATGGGTTAGGTTGCTGCTGGGGCAGTCGACCCGAATCTGCTTCACCTGCACCCAGGACCCATCCGGGGATGTCAGGGGCCCTGTGCACAGATTTGTGCTCTGATGGGGTCCCTTGGCCTGGCCTGTGCCCTCTTGCAATCCAGGACCCCTCAGGAAATGTCGGAGAGCTGATTTCAGCCTGATCCCTCAGGCCAGGCCGAGGGGCCTCTAGTATACATATAATCGAGAACATGACAATTCATTATTCAATGGATTCTGCATTATTAAACATCATAAATATTTTGTGGAAAACTCTACTATTTCATTAAGTTATTACTGAAGACTCCAATGGCCAAACTTATAGTAAAATTATAATGTATGGAAGAAGGAGACAGGGCAATGAAGAACAAGTGGAAAGAATATGAAGAAGTTATCATTCAAATTAAGATAAATAAATCCAAGTTGGAAAAACAAGAGTTTTTGTTGTTGTTTTTAATTTGGAGATATTTGAGTTTTTCATCAAGAATTCCCTATTTGAAAGAAGGAATGGCAATTTAAATATCTTAAACACATGACTGAGTTGTCCATAAAGCCTGGAAGCTCTATGAAACAGCCCAGAAATCACAATGACCAGCTTAAAACTGGTTCTGATCCTTTAAAACAGATTGCTGATCAATACAAGCCTTGAGTTATTTACAGAGACAGCACTACGCATGTGCCACCCCTGTCCTCTATTCTCACACCTCTCCATGGAACCAAAGAATCAGGACATGACCGGAACTTGCACACCGGAACCCTTTCAGAGTGAAGTGTCTGTTGTCCAAGAAGTTTTGGTGCTGAAACCCCTTACCATAAATGACCAAGTTCCAAGGTCCTCCAATTAAAACTCACCTAGCCAGCACTTCTACATACCTGTTCCCCTAACACACCCTATACCTGTAAGTCATTGGGTAGTTTAGACTTTTGAGCACTAGCTTCCCCATCCTCTTTGCAACTCCAATTTTTCCACTGAAATTTTTAGCGTTCAGTGTTGGGCTCTGCTGAGCATCGGGAAGGACAAACTCTCTTTCTGCTCAGTTACATCTACAACCCTAAAAAACAAACTTCAAAGAGCATAGCATACAAAAAAACAAAGACCAAGAATGGTATGTTTAACATTAATTGTATCAAATGTAATCAAGTAGGCAAAATGTTTCAACTATTCTAACTTGAAAGTTACAGTGCTCTTCTTCTTCTTTCTGTTGCTTAAAATTTTAACTATTTTAGTAAGCACTAAAGTTGATCCATAACCTGATCCACAATACTCCTTAAACAGGTCCAAATAGTTCAAATAGTTAGATTTAAAAGGGGGGGGAGGCAATTAAACACTGAAATTAGTCATCTGCCAAGAACATCCATACTTTACAAAAATGACTCAGCAAACCACTTAATGTGAACTTCAACAGCTTTTAACCGGTTTCTTATGAAAAAGACAATTTGATTTGGGCTTTCAAATGACTTTATCAATCATTCCCACAGTTCCAGGAATACTAAGAAACAATTCATTCTTAGCACAAAAGATTTGCCTATATTAACCTTCAACTCACCCAGACATCTACAGGCAGCACTTGCTTTTCCATCAAAATGAGAAAATGTTATTAGCTAAAAATGTAAGTATATGCTAAGGTTGTAAAACTTTTAAAAAGTATTATTCTGGATAATGGCAAAAGTTGGAATTTCTCTTTTTTAGAGAGAAGAGACAGAAATTCCAGAACGCTTCCCCAACTCCCCCAAATATTTGAGTCACAGGGTTTATTTGTGCTGAAAACCAGTTATCTGCTGCTTGAAACCTAAACAGCATTCACCAGCATTTTGGGATCACCTGGGACCAAAGGGGTGTGTTGGAAGATTTCCAGATGGATTATAAGACAATTAATTGATATTTACATAACAAGAATAAATGTTTTCCCTAAGATAGCATTTCCCTTCAGTGCCATCAGACCTCCAGCAAAAGAGGGCGGTACAGAAATTCTATTACATTAATGGTCTTTGCTTTTCTGGCTTTGGCATTTGTTAACTAGTGGGAGCTGTTTATTGGGCCATAAACTTTACTAATGGGGATATTATCTCGAAATTATAAATCTCCTTCAGTATATGGCTTAGTTATAAAAAGAATAATTATTTAAAGTGTCTGTATGGCTGTAGTGTATCATGTTTATCGGCGTGATTCCTATAATGGCCATTTAATTGCTAGTTGTGGGCTTGAACTTCGAATAACCAGGGCAGTGACACACATCTATGCAAAAGAATAAGCAGTTGTCATCCTACAAATTCAGGAGCATATCATTGGTTTGCTGCCTTTTCTCCTCCTACTTCTCAAATGAATTATAATATAAGCTTGTGCAAGGGCTAAATTATCTACATATTTAAAATCTTGAGGGAAAGACAACTGACTGAAGAGTTGAATAGGTAAGTGACAAATATGTCAGCTTGAAAAGTTCCAGGAAAGTGTCATCCTTCTAAAATCTTGTTCTCTGGGGACTAAAAAAATCGTATCGTAACAAAATGGCTTGGCAATGTCAGTTGTTTTAAAAAACAACAACCTGGGACAAAATTCAAGTAGTCAAAATTAGATTTTTGTGGGTAAATGGTTCTAGTATGTAAATTGAGTGTTCTACTTTATTGGGAAGCCCTATGGGGTCTATTCTAACAATGGCACATGTAGAATTATCCTCAGTTTATATAAAAATCATTTATTGATCAACTTTATATTTAAAAACTGAAAGGGCCATTGTTGTCGAAAAAATTAGTATGTGTGAGTGGCAGGAAGCCAGCTCATTTCTAGGCAAGACGCTGCAAAAGTGAAGTGAAAGAATAATGAGATAGAAGGGCCCATAAGATACCATCAGTACCTCTTCCTCTCCCCAAAGCAGTCCCTGAAAGGTAAAGGTTAAAGTCCCCTCTCCACAGGCTTCTATTGTCTCTGAGAACACCAGGCAACTAGATTATGGTACATGGCACCCAACACTGAAGACTGGGGTAGATTGGGACAAACCTCTCAAATGAATTCCCAGATGTCCATGATTATAAGTGTTAATGAAATATACACTACATGACAAAAGTTCTGCTGAGACTCATAAATGTATAGGCCTAGAAGGAAAATAAAAATAGAACTGGAGAAATGCAAGAGGGAAATGCTATAGTCTTAGAATATTTAAACCTCTGGGGTGGGTGGTATGTGTGTGTGGAGAATGAACCAAAAAGATCTCTCAAACTTCAGCACTCACATTCTTACATATTTTAGACATAATACATTGTGATCCTACTAAAATTATATACACATGCAAATATTCCTAAATTAACAAACTAACTTTAGATATAAAAAGGGCACTAAATTTTAAACACTGCACATGTTTTAATTTCTCTCCCACATTTTTACGTGCCCAAGAGTATGTGTTGCAGGGATGGGGTAGTCCTTTTCTTCTCACATATTTGTTAATGTCAGAAAATAAATATCTTCACTCTAGAGGTCTAAGGATTATTTTGATAAGATAGGCTGCTACAAAGTTTAATTATACAGGTAACAAACGTGTAAAAATATTTCAAACGTTTAATACAATCATAACTTATTGCTTTGATATAATTTGATTTTATACTGCTATGTATAGCTGTCAAAAGTCATTTTCTTTTTATGTTGCAATAAATCAAATTTGTTGTTTGCAAAATTACCATAAGATTCTTTGACATTAATAAATCATACATATAATAAAAATGTTCAGTGTTTCTTTAAATGACATTTTTAATAGTGCTGGTATATCAGTATATAATATGATGTTCTGAAAAACTAAAATGACAGAAAGAAATTAATTATAGTCTGCAGATTTCAATTCAATATGATCCTTTTTTCTTTTTTGTTTTTAATGAATTTATACCCACTGAAACAAAGTTGGCAAAATTACAGCAAGGAATCAAATGGAGTTGAGCAAACTTGGCATGGTTAATCGATCCTTAAGCCATACACGTCTTCTAAAAATTGAAAATAGTCAACGTATTTGAAAGGAATAGGTGATGGCATCCCAAGCCACTCATCTTCACATTTCTAAAAAAAAAAAGGAAAAGAAAGAAAAGGATTATAATTAAAACCACATTTCAAAGTCTAGTTTTGTAAATGCAACATTAAATTGTTTCTCGTTATATAAACTCTTGGCAAATATTTTCTTTTCAAAGCAGACATTTCTGCAGTCCACTTTTGGATCACAAGGACTTTGTGGTACATTGGATTACTGTGCTCAATTCTTCATCCCTCCCTATATTAGAATTATACACCTATTATCTCTGAGATGTGACTTTGCAACACCTTTCATGGAGTTGATATTTTAAAAATACTTTTTTATTGATTTTTTACAGAGAGGAAGACAGAGGAATAGAGTTTTAGAAACATCGATGAGAGAGAAACATCGATCAGCTGCCTCCTGCACACCCCCTATTGGGGATGTGTCCACAACCGAGGTACATGCCCTTGACTGGAATCAAACCTGGGACCCTTGAGTCTGCAGGCCGACGCTCTATCCACTGAGCCAAACCAGTCAGGGCTCACGGAGTTGATTTTTTTTTGTCCCTTTGATATGGGGTTGGCCATCTGACTGGCTTTGGCCTATATAATGTTAGCAGATGTACCAAACATAGGCCCTAATGTGCTGGCATGATATGGCTTGGCCTCCTGTGCCTCTGTCATAGCCATGAGAAGAACATGGCCCATGAAGCTGCTGCTGGTCGGAATGACACAAGTGGAGCAAGTAGAGCTGGTGCCAAATCCAGCTGATGTACAGGCCTATGGAGGAAAAAAAAAATACTGCTGTTAAGAACCACTAAGCCCTGGCCAGTTTGGGTAGAGCATTGGCCTGCGAACTGAGGGGTCCCAGGTTCAATTCCAGTCAGGGGCATGTGCCTTGGTTGCAGGCACATCCCCAGTGGGAGGTGTGCAGGAGGCAGCTGATCGATGTCTCTCTCTCTCTCATCAGTGTTTCTGGCTCTCTATCCCTCTCCCTTCCTCGCTGTAAAAAATCAATAAAATATATATTTAAATAATAAAAAAAGAACCACTACAATTTCAAGGGAGGTGTCTGTCATACAGCAGTGGTAGCTCCTATTATGCTTAATTAAGAATTCATTTTTTTAAAAATCCAAACTACTAGCTATACAGGCTGCTCGGTTACTGTTTCTTCAATCTAACAATGGAAAAAAAACACTGGATCATTCACAAAATACTCTTGGGGATAAGCTACTTTATATATACTTCATATATATGTAGCATAAATATATACACATATACTTATTATATGTGATACATATGTGTGCTAATTTCATAAAAATAAATACCTTCATTCTAGACAGGTTTAAGAATTTTATGAGGTAAGGTTCAACAAAATTTTTTAAGTAATAAACGTGTCAAAGAGATTTCAAAAAATCTTGTATATATAAATCTATACAGACGCACATATGCACATGCATACTTTTTATTTATTTTTGCAATGGTCAATTCATATCAACATCAACATAAGAGGAAAAGCCAATAACTGTGGCTCCTTAAATTTCTATTTTCAAGGATGATTATTTTATATAAGAGGTGCTATATGTTACCTACAGCTAAATGGGTATCCAAAACCACAAGGTATCACAGAAACACGAGTAAGGCCTCAATGATTATATGTGATTAAACTGTGGAAGCATCCTGAGTGAGTGATATTTCACTTGGATCTTATAGAATAGGGAGCAGTTTAGCAGGGGATTAAAGTCATGAAGGCTATCTCAGGCACAGGGAACAGCATAAGCAAAAGCCTGGAGACTGAGAAATCAATTTTTGAGAAAGGGTAACTTGTGCAATGGTTTGGGGCACAAAGAGGCAAGAAAGGCAGTTGGAAGGAAAAGATGGGGGCAAACCAGTGCCAGTTTATACTCTATGCTGTAATTAAAGAAAGTCATTGGTGCATCTCAGCCAAAGAAAGCTGATTAGAGATTAATCACACAACTGGGATGTATGAAGAATGAAATAAAGCACCATCACTTTGGAGGTTACTGCAATCCTCCTGGGGAGAAATGAGTGTGTCATAACCAGGGCAGCGGCAGCTGGGATGCATAAGAGCCACATCTGAAAGATTTTGCTACAGTAAAACATATAATACCTGCAAGGTGACTGGTTTGAAGTGGTCATAAAAGAAAGGGATAGTGTTATGGGTTGAATCGTGTCTTCTCAAAAAAAAGTAAGTGTTGAAGTACTATTATTGCAGTAACCTCCAAGCTTCTGGGGTGCTAAACACAAAATTTGGGGATAGAGGCCCTCCTAGAGAGGGCATAGAAGCTCCTCACCCTTTCCCCATACCTTGCCAGTGATGGCGAACCTATGACACGCATGTCAGAGGTGACACGCTAACTCTTTTTTTTTTGGTTGAGTTTTCTTTGTTAAATGGCATTTAAATATATAAAATAAATATCAAAAATATAAGTCTTTGTTTTACTATGGTTGCAAATGTCAAAAAATTTCTATATGTGACACGGCACCAGAGTTAAGTTAGGGTTTTTCAAAATGCTGACACACCAAGCTCAAAAGGTTCGCCATCACTGCCCTATGCGTATCTTTCATCTGGTTCTTCCAAACTAGTCATCAGTAAGTAAAATGTTTCTCTAAGTTCTATGAGCCACTCTAGCAAATTAACCAAACCCAAGAAGGGAACCTCTAACCTACAGCCAATTGGCCAGATTCTCAGGTGACAACCTGGACATGTAAATGGTGTCTGAAGTGGGGAGGCAGTCTTGTAGGGCTGAACCACTAACCTGTGGGATCTGAGGCTATCACTGGGTTGATATTGTCAAACTGAGTTGAATTGTAGGACACACGGCTGGTGTTGAGAATTGCTTGGTATAAGGGGAAAATCTATACATTGGAATTGTTACCAGAATTATAGCCAACCCGCAATTTTAGGAAGATTTCCCAATTACTAGTTTAAATAAACTAACACAAATCAAATTGGAATCCAAAGGAGGGTAGGAAGCAGGAGCTAAGCCTTAACCAACTTGGAAGAGGGGATATCAATTAAGTAGAGAGAAAAGATATCTCTTCATACTTTTTGCCCATACTTGGCCATCTAAAGAAATAACATGGCCAATCTCTTTGTAAAATAAATAGATCTTTGGTGACAGGAGAATCCCCATATTACCATGCCCAATTGTTCTAATAAATCCACAAATGCTCTAAACATTACAGAATATTTAGGACAATTGGGGCAGTGAGTTAAAATAGCCTTTGTCTTCATTGACCTTTTATTCATCCTACACCACAAAATGCAAAGAAAACTCCAGATTATATTGTATTCCCAGCAGTGCATGCAAATTTAAGTGGAAATAACTGCATGGTAATTTTACAACAGGAGAGCTCATCCACAACAGCCCCCCACCACTCCCCCTTCAAGATGAGGGTGAGCCTGCTTGTATTTCTGTAAAGGAGCTCCCTGGATGGTACATGTTGGAATCTTAAATGTCTTTGTGTAGCAGGCTCTGCCAGTGCCCTTCCCCATTCCTTCACCCTCTCCACTTGGCTCACACCAGCCTGACTTCCAACCACCAGCTCCCTTGCACTTGGGGTGAGATAACTCTGAGGTACCTGTTGGCTATTGCACCTCTTGCACTTGGGGTGGGATAACCTGTTTGGCTATTGCATCCCTGTGTTTCTCAGAGGCATTAAGCTCCAGTCATCCATATTTGTTACTGATTTAATAATATACCCTATAAGCTCCTTTTTTTCCATTTCTCACTTCTCCAATCCCTTACTAGTGCTCTTTTCATCCCCAACCCCCTAAAAAACTATTTATGTTCCAAGCCTTGTTTCTAATTTAGCTTCTAAAGGAAGTCAAATGAAGGCATTATGCTATCTTGCATTTATCAAAACTAATAAAATATCTATGAAAGTCACAAAACATCTTGGAACAAAGCAACTTCCTGAGAAATTGTGAATAAATTCAGAGTTTCCAATGTGACTTTCGGGTAACTCAAGAGATAGTGCCCAAATTTCCAAAAAATAAAAAAAAATCACTTTAATCTGAAGCAAAAGGACATGTGCCACATAGCATTTTATGAAAAAAGGAAGAACGGTGAAGCACTGAGTAAAATTCAACCACAATGCAAAATCCTAACTCTAAAATGGCTGGGAATCATTGTTTGCAGTGGACCTCATGACATCTTCCAAGCTGGCTGTCGCTAGAGCTACTTAAGATGTCAAACAAGTTGGCAATAGATTACTTGTTCATGAATGGTGAAAAAATGTAGCTGCCAATTATAAACTCACACACCCTTGAAGTGGGAAGCAAAGATGGCACTGGATGGAAACCCAGTAAATAGCAGCTGCCCAATGAGAACAGCAAAGCTAGGAGAGAGCTCATGGGCCCTGGATTTATTTGCTTTGACATTTTTAAAAGGAAATGTAATTGGATTATGTCTCCTAGTTTAAGATTTTCTACTGTAGTACTGGCCACCAGATGCATGAGGGGAAAAGATCAGGAGCCAATTAAATTCCTCGCTTCAGTGAAACAAGGTTATTTTTATTCTTCCCAAATGTAAGGCTGATAGAGTCATGTTAGTGATTTCACCCTACTATTGCCCTCCCTTCACTTGAAAAAGGATGTTTCTACAGGAAATATCTATGAATTTGTAGAAAAGTCCAGTAGTGTGCATGGAATTCAAGTTGTGGTTTTATTGGATTTTCTTCCTTATAATAGGTTGACATGACTTTGGAAGTAATCAAATTAAGTTGACAAAATCATAAAAAGTTAAGTTTCAGTAAAACAAATTAAAATTAATTTTGGAAAGATAGTTCACAAATACTTGTCAAGATAATTAAGAGTATTCTGATGACTTACGCTCATATGTCAAGCCATGAGATCTGCTTATATTACTATGCATTTCTGTCTTTACTATCATAACAATATTTCACAATTGCTTCCCTCTGCCCCAGACAAGGCTTCAATAAAGTTGTCATCTGTGTGAGTGTAACTAAAACACAGGTGTAACTTATAAGCAAGAAATTTCTCCTTAAAACTGCATTACATC